GAGAAATGAAAGTTATAAAATGAGTTACTTTTACTATCAAAAAAAAAATCCTAACAGAGTACATAATTCTAGAAAAATTCAGAAACACTTTTAGAAGCTTTGTAAAATAAATCCAGCATAGAAATTCACAACTTTGAACGTTGAAAAATAACACGGATAAGTAAATGTATGTACATTTACAATGTGCAATTATATTGCAGGTAATATAATTTGAAACTGAACAACGTTCAATTTTGGACGGTTTACTACACAACAGTTTTTATCAATTTTTTAGATGCATTTAGCATTTTGAACGTAAAAATTATCCCTGAGAAAGTCAGAATAATTAATTAATTATCACTATGTTGCTTCGTTTGCTGAAGGCTTATTGTGTGTCTTATTAATCACTGATTACGGATAAATTAAAACAGCTGTGTATTATTCTATTTTAGACAGCAATTAATTTGTATCAATTTGTTTACTTAGATGTTACAGTTAAGATAATAACGTAGGGAAACGATTTAACGTATATAATATTGGTTTCATAGAATAAATTGTCCAGAATACAATCACTTGAACATTGTAATGGATGTCCGAAACGTATGTGAGCGGGAATCATGATCTTCGAATTAGTTTCAATTTTACCAAATCCATTTATGTGGATTGTAGAATTGATATTCCTGGGATTAAATTATTAAATAATTGAATACATAAAAGGCCAAGAGGAGTCTAATGCGAGAAGAAAATAATCCAGGAAATGTAATTCAAAATTGAGGAAAGATAATTTTGATTATTAGACAAAAACTTGTGATAATTACTACTTTGCTATTAGAATTCATTTTCGTAAACAAGCTATGAACCTTTAGTGTTCAAAAGTAAAATAAATATCATGAGCTTATTTAGAAAAATGTCCGTTTTTACATTCATAAAATTCATTTCAACTATTTATTAAATTAATTTTTGAAATTGGACTTAAATTCTTATTATATCATTAATAACAGTGACAAAGGAAACTGTGCTGTAAATAAATAATTGAAATGTGAAATAAAATTTATTTTAAGAAATGGTACGAATGTTGAAATAAGAGTTAGCTGAATATCCATGTCCACGTGCACATGTAATATTATACCCTATTATAATACCATCAAAGTAGTTCTTGAAATATTTCACCAGCGCTTTAAATAGTATAGTATATATTATCTCACGAATTCCTGCACGACAGCCTGAAGCGTGTCTAGTGGCATGTTCTCAAGAATTTTTCTTTATATATTCCAAAATCTGACACAGTTCATCGAACAGTTGCTAAAAATGATTCACTATTCAAATCACATAACATAATTTAATATAATTTCAACGTAATTTAAACTCAATTAATTTGAAACAATTTTGATTATTTATACATTGAAATGATTATAAGTTTCTTTACTTTTTCTTTGTACAAAATTAAGATATATATGTAATGTTATTAATTTCACAGTAATACGCTGTACATTTGAGGCTTATGATGAGACTTTTATCTAACAAATGATCACATTGAAGTAATAATTACCGATTTTTATATAAATTTAGTGAAAAATAGTATCAATGAAGGTAATTCAGACATAAT